TGGATCTTGGAGACTGAAGGCAGTTGGATCGTTAGCGTGTGGCTCAGGGGTAGAGCACTCCTGCGAACTGCACAAGGCCGTGGATTCCGTCCTCAAAACAAAATGTAAACACGCAAGGATGAAATTATGAAGCCGGTATTCAGTACACGCTCTCCAGATCAAGAAATGAAGGCAAGTTAGCCTGAACTTGATCTCGTAAGATGAGTCAGCCAGCAAGTCTGCTATAAACTTTACTAGTCGGGCTGTTAAAGGGCCAGCTCCTTCCGAGGGGAGGTTTTGGTCTCTCCTTCAGATCACAACCTGCTGAGGTGAATGTTCAAGGTGCAAGAATGAGCTATAAATACCATGTGAACAGTTTCAGGAAGAGGTGCAGCAATTACGAGTGTAATTGCTCCACCAACAGACACGTTGGTGGAGCGAGGTCATGTGTAACTGCTTTCCATCCATCATATGTGCTTGCACGGCAAGTCCCTCTTCAGCAGGCCTTCTGTGTACCTTCTGGCTCAGCTCAGGTGCCACTTCTGTTTCTCCTCTCTAGTGTCTCCCTTCCTTTCTATATGCCCCATCCCTCTCTATCAACATCAAGTTCTCTTTTCCTTCCACTGCAGTAGATCTTGGTTCATAATTTCATGGTATTGATTAGGACTGTTTGGCTGGGGGAAAAAAAGGAAAAACAGGCTTAAACAAACAGACTTAATAGAAATTCTATTAAAATAACTAGTAAGAGCCGGGCGGTGGTGGCGCATGCCTTTAATCCCAGCACTCGGGAGGCAGAGGCAGGTGAATCTCTGTGAGTTCAAGACCAGCCTGGTCTACAAGAGCGAGTTCCAGGACAGGCTCCAAAACCACAGAAAAACCCTGTCTCGAACCCCCCCCCCCAAAAAAAATAAATAAAATAAAATAACTAGTAAGGAGATCTGTGAGACTCAAGGGCAAGATCTAGTGGACAAGCTCTTGTCCTCAGTCTTCCCTTTCCTGCTCATTCTCCTGAGGAAAGCCATTGGGGGAGGGGGTTCTAGTCCCTGTGGTAAAAAAAATCTCATGGCTGTCTTCTTCCTTCTTCTTCTTCTTCTTCTTCTTCTTCTTCTTCTTCTTCTTCTTCTTCTGGTTTTTCGAGACAGGGTTTCTCTGTAGCTTTGGTGCCTGTCCTGGAACTAGCTCTTGTAGACCAGGCTGGCCTTGAACTCCCAGAGATCCGCCTGCCTCTGCCTCCCGAGTGCTGGGATTAAAGGCGTGTGCCACCACCGCCCGGCTCATGCCTGTCTTCTTAAGCTACCAAAGTTATTCACTAGAAGTTTGTCGAAATTTGTATTTGAGGGGGAAAATTAAGTGGCCCTCTTGGGGTCTCACAACACGAAATGAAAAATTAACTGCACTCATATAGGGTTTATTTGGGTGGCGTGGATAATTTAATTGTTCAAAATGACCACTATCTCTATGGATGGGACTAGAGCAATTAGAGGTCCTTGGAGACATGATAGATGGTCTGAATGTCTCTTGAAGTTTCATGTGTATCTGATTTCCCAGCGAGAACATAAGCTCTTCAAGGACTGGCTCTCACACCTTCATAGTCTTTTGCCAAGAAACAAGTATTACTGATGCACTTCTAACAGTTCTGTGGCTCCTAACTTGCACGTTAGGCACACATACATATCTGAATTAATACGCGAGGACTTACATGTTTAGACGCCCACCGTAGTATAAACACTGCCATAAAGATGTTACAGTACAACACTGTGAAGTGGTTCTGGTTCTCGACCGTATCCCTCTCTCTATCCTGAAGAGATGGCTCAGTGGTTAGGAGTACTTCCAGAGGACCCATGTGGGGCAGCTCACAGCCATCTGTAACCCCAACTCCAAGGGATCTGACACCTTTTCCGGCTTCTGCACAAATGGAAATAACTCAGAAAATCATCATAAGGTGGACGCAAGCAAGATGGTTAGCAGGGAAAGGCGCCTCACCACCAAACCTGATGGCTCGCGTTCATGGAACCCGCATGTTGGAAAGACAGAATCCACACAGTAGAGCGAACTGACTCTTAGAAGTGGTCTACTATCCACTAATCCCCAACTCCCCTGCCACACAATACAAATAAATAAGTAAATAAAGTGGGGACCAATTGAAGATAGCAACTGACATTGAACTCTGGTGCGAGCATATGTGTGTGTATGTGCGCGCACGCTCACCCCCCCATGCACACACGCGTACGCGCGCACACGTACACACACACACACGCACACACACACGCACACACACACGCACACACACGCTACCGAAAAACCAGCCAGTGTTAATCATCTCATTTACTGAACATCAAGGTACAGTACAGGTAATAGGTAGTTTTTGTTCTTTGGATTTTAGGCTTTGGCTTGGATTTTTCCAGTTCTGCAGCCATCCCCAGACTTACTGACCTTCTTGAGAAAGTCATAAAAGAAGGCCCGGCCCCTGGAAGGGTAACTGTCAGGCTTCGGTAAGAGGACACAGTTAAGCTTTCTTCGTAATGCTTATTCTGACTAAATTTGCTCAGCCTCAAATATCATACCTTGCCTGCTCTCTTCTTTTTCTGAATACTGCCAATCATATTTCCATTTTGAACGTGCAATTGTACTCAGTACCTATTGCAATTGTCTAATAAATTTGAAATGTACAAAATACAATATAATTCTTACTTAATATTCCTTTAGTTTAAGCCTTTCCTGAGTTACTAATTGTTTTCAGGCTCAAAATATTCTATCTAATTTTGTCTTTCTTTTTCGATTAAATTCATCTTATACAAAAGGCAAGTTTTTATTTATTTATTTATTTTGAGACAGGGTCTCACTGTGTAGCCCTGGATGACCTGGAATTCACTACGTTGAATTGCATGTTGGCCTGGAATTCCATGTTGGCCTCAGACTTGAAAAGATTTGCTTGCCTCTGCCTCATGAATGCTGGGATAGGGTATGTGCCACCGTGCCTGGTCCTAAAAACAGATTTTTAAAATCCCTAACATCTGGGCCCATGAAGTCACGGCCGTTTCAAGCTCATGTGTACGACAGCCCTGTCATGTCCAGCAAATACTGTCTCACTACACGTGTCCACCACCTCTCACTCTTACAAGCCCTTAGCTCCTCTTCCGTGATCTCTGCACCTTGTGGGCAGATGGGGTGTAAAATAGACATCCCGTTTACAGCTTGAGCGTTCTACAGTTCCATGTTCCCTGTTTGCTGACCAGTCGTGGGTTCCTGTATTAACAACCATCTACTGCAAAAAGAGGTTTCTTCGATGAGGGTTAAGAGGTACACTGATGTATGGGCATAAAGATAAAAACTTAGGGGATAGTTGAACGCTATGTCCATGTAGTAGAATGATAGTGTTAGGATTTTTTTTTAATTGGATCTCACTGTGTACCCCTGGCTGACCTAGAACTCACTACGTTGATCAGGTTGGCCTCAAACTCATAGAGATCCACCTGCCTCCTAAGTGCTGGGATTAAGCTTTCTTCAGCCTCTTTTACACTCTATCTGAAAACAAAGATTTTACCACATTTCCTTCTACAAAACTCCTTTGTCCCAATCAGTTCAACGCAAACTCAGCCATCTGATATCAAGTCCTTCTACCGTTTTAATTCAATCCAACACATGCTGGCATTAGCCGGTGTTGTCTTGCACTCTACCCCAAGCCACGGAAGTGATCTGCTTATTTTTCACACGACACACGATATGCTTTTCTATGTCCAAGCTTCGACACAGCTTTCCGTGTCCACCCGGACCTCTCCTCCGCACTGTCTCTATCATTCTCATCCTCAGCCTCCCCTGATCCCTCCTGCCGTGACACCTTCTAGTGCTCAACTTCTAACACTTACATGATGGTGACTCTGCTGTTGTTTTATTTCCACACGGGATTGTGAATTCCACTGAAACAAAACACCAGGGCTGGAGCGGTGGCTCAGTCATTAACAGCACTTGCAGCCCTCACAGAGGCCCAAAGTTCAGTTCCCAGCACTGACATTAGGTGGCTCACAACAGTCTCTAACTCTAGTCCCAGGGGATCTGACACCCTTTTCCGGCCTTCATCAGCACCTGCACGCATACGTATACATACACTTAGGCCCACACACATACACATATTTTTTTCTCTTAAAAAATCTTTTAAAGAAGTAAAATTTTTAAAACACCACATTTCCTGAGCCCTGGTATGAGTGATTCACACACGCCGTCTAACTCGATCCTTAGATTTAACGTTACACGAAGCGCAGCTTGGGGAGAGCATACTAATGATGGCAGAATCAGGCCCCTCCCCAAGGTTAGGTTTATATTACTTGTTGTAGCCTGTACAACGGCCACCGCTTGCTCAGGATTCAATCTGTGCAGGCCCCATCAGCATGCTAAAAAAAAAAAAAAAAAAAAAACATGTATTCATGTAGATCAAGGTTCCGAGAAGGCTTGACTAGAGGGCCTGGACGGTAATGACAGGATGGCAAGATTGGTGAGGACGGTTTGAGAATTGCACTACTGAGCTTTAAACAAGCATTTAAAATATATGGTTGCTAAACAGTTTTGCGTCTATTCTTTACCCTCCAGTAGGTGCCTGCCGTTTGTCTCTCTGATTTTATTGATCCCTGGGGATCACATTCATTCTTTTCTGCTTCCACAGCGTTGAACGAATTGCTCAACACAGAGTACGTACTTGTTGATTTTAACGTACGTGTGTTTGCATGTGTGCACAGCAACTGGGCAGAGGCCGTGGGGGTGGGATGCAGGGTGCATTCCTTTTCCTCATTCTTTTTCCCTTAAGCAGCTGCAGCCCGCGGGCTTTCCAGTCTAGGCGGGGAGAAGCAGAACCACTGACCCTTTAACAAGTTGTCCCTCACAGAACAGGTGTCTCCCCCGCCTCTCCGAGGAGAGGGATGGCTGGCCGCTTAGTGACATCAGCCGCCAACCAATGAGAAGTCAGGTTTAGGCAGCCTCGCCAATCGCCGGCCAGGGGGCGGGCCCGATTGCCTGGGAGCCGGGCGGGCTAGGCTGCTCTGCGGCCGCGGTGGAGACTCCGCCGCTCACGCTGCCCGCCGCGACTCCAGCGGCGGCGCCGTTCCCGGGCCGCGCTGCTCCCCGACGCACGGCTCGGGCGGCTCCCGGTGCGGTGCGGCTATCCCGGCGTCCGGGTCCCCGTGGGTCCGCGGCTCACGTCCGGGGCTGCGGGGCACGCAGGTGGGCCGGCGGCCGCCGGGAGATAGGCCCCCGGGGGCAGCTGCGGACCATGGCGCGGAGACCTGGCGCGCCCGCTGCCTACGGGGAGGAGTTCTCCTTCGTCAGTCCGCTGGTGAAATACCTGCTCTTTTTCTTCAACATGCTCTTCTGGGTGAGGCTCGGGGGTCAAGGGGCACAAGGGCTGCAGGGCATCCCCGGAGCGCCAAGGCGGGCTGCCTGTGGCTGGGGGAGGGCCGACCTGGGCTGTCCGGTGCCCAGGAGCGTGGTGAGTGGTGCCGCCTAGTTTTCTCGGCTGGTGACACTTCGGGGGGCATGTCTCCTGGGGAGGAACACCACTGTGCCTCTGTGTCAGGAGGGGACGTTAGGAGGGGGCATCATTCTTGTTGCCGGGGATGAAGGTTTAGCAGGGATGAGGATCTGTGTGAGGCCAGAAGAGATGTGTTTGGGAGAAAAGCTGGTTGGACAGCCCCATGGGCAGGTTTCATGGTTAGGGACTTTCAGGCCTGGGTGCTGGAAGGCCCGACTGCCAAAACAGGCAATGGGGGAGAGGGAGAGAGAAGGAAGGGAAACCCCAAGCCTTCCCTCCCCCAGTTCCTCAGGGGGATGGGTCAAGGGGCTTTATCTCTCCCTTTTGCAGGCCTCAGTGTCTGCTCCTGTCAAGGCTGAAAAGGGTTAAGAATGGCCTCTAGGTCCGATGTATATCCTGCTTATCCCAGAATGGCCCTAAACTTTGCCCTACCTCCTTCAAGACCAGCTTTTCCTCTCTGAGCTGACAGCCTTCAGCTACTAATTTAAATAGGGTCCTCTGTTGGACTGGAAGACTGGGAGCCCCTTCAGAATCTTCTGTTTGGGGGTGGGAAAAGTGTAAACAATGTTGACCTAGGGCTCCAGACACCTGGGTTTCAGTCCCTACTCTACAATCCTTGTTGATTTGACCGATCTGGGTAAATCCATTCAAGCCTGCAGGCCTTCCTTCTCTTCCTCCCCCGAAAATTCCAATCCAGTGTGATGGAGAGGTGGCAGAAGCGGGCTGAGAATTCAGGGGGAGCTCATCAGAAAATGTTAGCTGAGTCCTGTTTCACCACTAGAGAGTGCTTGGGCCCCTCTGGATTTGATACCAGAGGGAAGTCCTTCCCCATCTCCCCATCCGCTGACAGCTCCTAGCACACCAGAGCTGCAGCCCCCCCTAAGCCTATCATCCGTGCCTACCTCAGCCTGAGACCAATAGTTCAGATTTGCGGGAGGGAAGAACAGTGGGTCTAATCTGTTTCCTAGGAGAAGGAGCAGACCAGACATGTGAGCGGCTGCCGGAAAGGTTTCACAGGGGCCATGGTGTGAAGTGCAGAGACGGAGTACATAAGTGTTAGCCTGTTGGGACAAATGAGAGAAATCCCAGAGGGGGCTGGTGACAGCTCACTCTCAGCCCGCATACTCTTGGGAAGACTGAAGTTTGGGCTTCTGTCAAATTCTCGGTTTTACAATTAGGATAAAAAAAAAAAAAACACGTAGCAATCATCCTGGTAGACTTCCACATTTTACCGGGGAGGAAGCACAATCGCAGCGATGGCCAGTGTCTTCACCAGGGTCTAGCAGCTAGTTAGCAGGCCTGGACTGGTGATTTGCTACGGAATCCGCATGCTTGTCAGGGAGGCCCATGGCCCAGATGGCTGCTACTGTAGCCTATGGGGTAACCAGTCAACCTGAGTTCTCATGGCCTGGGTTCTGCTTTCCTGAGAGGTTTGCAAACAAGAAAGCCCCTCACCAGCACAGTTCAGGGCTGAAGGGTTATACTGATGGGGAACTCCACCTGCAGGGGTAAGTACCAGAGGCACCACTTTCAAGTGGGTCCTCCTTGGATGCCTCTCTCTTCTGTCACCCTCAGGCCAGCAGCTGGCGCATCTGCCACTCGTGTCCTGGAACATTTTCTTGAACTGTTATGCTCTACTCTCTTTTATCAAACAAATAACTTTGGGGGTCACAGTCCAGCAGAGAGCCAGGTTCCTAGGCCCATTTACCTTGGTTAAAATGCTTCACGAAGGCATTCTGGCCATCCGTTCACATGGGTGACAAAATGCTCCCTCACCTTGGGTAAACGTGACCCTGCCAAAAAACTAAATAAACTAAAATAAAATAATGCTTTGATTTCATTTAAAATCAAAGGCTATCCATGTTAGTACTACCCCCAGATTAGGGCAGAACCCCCTTTTGGCCTATTGCAGACACAAAAGGTTGGTGGCTCTAGAAATAGCACGTGGAAGGACAAGAGCCCTAGTTTCTTTCCGGCTCCTACTTACTGTGTGACGCTAAGCCAACATATCTGTCTCTCTGTCCTTAATCTTTCCCCTTTAAAGGAGGAATTTGTCTATTTCTGTAAGCTATGTATAGAAGAATAAATCACTTTGGGAGCCGCTTTCTCTCGTTAAGACCTGGGGCAGGATCTAAGCGTGAATCTCTCCGTGTCTTGGTCCCTGGGACATTGGCCTCCCTAAGGGAGGGTGAAAGGGGAGGTACTTTTCAGGCATTGCTGATTATCACTTCTCTCCCAGGCCCAGAGCCCCAGTTGTACCCCACACCCATGCAGCTGTCAGTGAAGGACAACTTCTCCAGCTCCGAGCTCGTCTTTGTTCCCGTCTGCTTAAGGGACTGGTATGCAATGTCCCTTGTAGGCTTCCCCTAGCCTAATCAAATTCCCCTTCTCCGCATGGAAAGCACCCATGGCCAGGACAGTTGGGCCACTTTGTAGGCAGAGTACATGCATCTGGCCAGCTCCTGGGGAGCTATGTAGGGGTGCTGTTTGTATCTATGCCTGATACACATTAGGAAGGTGGCCAGCATCATCTGGGCTCACATTCAGGGATTGTGGTGGCAGGGGCCACCTCTACTGCTGCAGGAGCCCTGGCTCTCAGGGCATTTGTAGTCTGATTTGGAAGGCTGATGCCTCCCTTGGAATCAGAATCAGTCTCTTCTGTTTATGTTTCAAATCTCATTTCCTCTTTGGCCTGGAAGCTCTGGTTTTCTCCCCAGAATCAGGTTGCTGGGCGACGGATTGTTGGGTTTCCATGGCCTGAAGTAACTGCTCCAAGATCCTAGAAGTTGTATTAAAACTCTTTAGAAGTAACTGCCTTTCTCCACCTCCCTGTGTCGGTCACCTCTGTACAGAGTTAAGACAGTGCTGTGGGGAAACAGGGTCTTAGCCTGGGCAGTATCAGCTCAGCTCTGCTCCCTGCTGACCCTTTATCTCTACACAGGGCAGCAGTTGGGGTGCTCACTTGGTCCCTTCTTTTCCTCCCTCACTGCAGTCATGTGCTTATGTATCTGTCTCCCCATCTAGACCCCAGGCTCCTGAGGGAAGAGACTGTTGAGTTCAATTCTGGATGTTTTGTTTTTGCTTTGATTTTTTTTTGTTGTTGTTGTTGTTTTGTATCTTTTGTTTCTTTGTTTTTGTTTTTGAGACAGGGTTTTGCCATGTAACAGCCCTGGCTGTCCTGGAACTCACTCTGTAGACCAAGCTGGCTTCAAACTCACAGAGATCCTCCTGCCTCTGCCTCCCACGTGCTGGGATTAAAGGTGTGTGCCAACACCACCCACCCAGCCAGTTCTGGATTCTCAGTACCTGGGGCAGGAGTAGAGGTTGATGGAATGTTTGTTGCCTGAGAGAGCAAAGCTTTGTCGATGGACACACAGTGTCCCTTCTCTCTCCCTCCCTCCTAGGCTCATTCTCTCTTCCTCATAGATTTACCTGCCTGACAGCTCTCCCTTGAGTTGGGTCAGACAAAAGTGACAGCCATGCCCATGGGTAGCTCCTTAGAGCCACATGTGGTTGCCACTCCCAGCATCTGGATTTCTTCTCTTTATCTGTGACACATTGAGACCCCATCTGTGTCTTCCATAGGCCAATCCCAGCCACTGGTGAGGACTCTTAAAAAAAAATTAGAGTCAGGCAGTGGTGGTACACACCTTTAATCCCAGTACACAGGAGGCAGATGTAGGCAGATCTCTGTGAGTTCAAGACCAACCTAGTCTACAGAGTGAGTTTCAGAACAGCCAGTGCTACATAGTGAAATCCTGTCTCGAAAAAACAAAAAACAAAAACAAACAAACAAAAAAAAAACTTACCCTTGTAAGCTCTCAGATTTGAAAAGAAGGCAGTATAGTGAGAGAGAACAGAGGAAGGTTAACACGCTTAACACTTCAGATCATGGTCAATAGAATTGTAGTTGTATTGTAAGGATTGACCTAATACTACCTTGTTATCAAAATGCCATTTTGTACTATAGGGCAGCATAGCCAATACACAGCCTAGAGAAGGCTTAGGAAATCTGTTGGTTTCCTAAACAACATGCATATATATATTTGTTGTTTCAAAAACCCTTTGGAATAAATGTCATGCTTTGGATGAAGAAGTAGCACCCATTATAATCCACTCCCTGACCATTATTTTTGGAGTCCTCCAGACACTGAGAATCATCCCAGACCACCTGTGGCGATGTAACTTGCCTCAGAAGCCAGGAGGAGGTGACCAGACATCAAACCTAACAAAATCCTGTAGTCATGGAAGGGTCTTTCCATCTCTCCTGATACACTTTCCCACCTCCTCTTCTCCCCCACATTCATGAAGCCAGCGGGCTAGGGAGGCTTCAATAAACGAAGCAATCAGATTCTTGTTTTGTGTTTGAGACAGGCTGGCTCAAAGTCACTATATAGTCAAGTCTGACTTTGAACTTCTGATCCTCCTGCCTCTACCTCCTGAGTGCTGAGATCACAGACAAATTTGTACCACTGAGTCTAGCTTCCTTCTGATTTCTTTTCTTTTCTTTTCTTTTTTGAGACACGGTTTCTCTATACAGTCCTGGAGGCTGTCCTGGCTATCTATTTTTTCTCTCTTCTCTCTGTCTCTGTCTCTCTCTCTCTGTGAGTACCTCAGGTATCTGTCTTCACCTTGTTTAAGACAGGGTCACTTATGCTGCCTATGCTAGGGTAGCAGGCCTTAGAGCTTCTAGGATTCCCTTGTCCCTGCCTCCCATCTCACAACAGGAGTTCTGAGATTGTAGACACTGTGCCACTAAGTCCAGCTTTTCACGTGGGTCTGGGGATTTGAACTCAGGTCTTTGTTCTGGGACTAGAAGTCCTTTGCTCAGTGAGCCATCTCTC